AGCCTTTGCAAGCTACTGAGGCTTCGCAAAGCGGGACTCGCATTCACGTAAGCCCTTCAGACGGTCGTGGCCTACATCCGGAGAGGGGCTTTCAAAACCGACTCGTTAATCCAGCCTCCATCAATTTCGACGGATTCTGGTGGGATATGTGGGCTGTTTCTGTCACTTTCATACCGACAACCCCGCTTCATCGTAAGTCAGCTGGCGCCTGGGTGACTCCGCGCTCACAGCACGCTGAAAGGGATGTGTGCAACATTCCATCAGAAAAAACGGTCACGAAACCCTGCGGCACGTTTTGATTACCCCTGGGAAAACTCCGGCTGATTAGTTTAGGTGGACTTGGCGGCGGCCGCCGTGTTAATTAGTTTGGCGGCCAGCCGCGTCGCCACCGCCCGCATCGAACCCTGGGAATCCGTGACCAAAGCAGCCGCCCAGTTGGGAGTCAGCTGCATTGAGGCCCGTCGCTCTCACGAACTGAAAATCCTACGGGCGGCCAGGTCTAATGGCGCAAATAAAGTAGCACACCAGCTTCGAGCTTTCGTTGCAAGTTTGTATCGACCAAACCATATTGTTTGTTCACACCACTTTGGGATAGTTTCGTTCTGGAGACTTGTCACAGGTGGTCGTGATGTGAGGCTTGTCACAGGTGGTTGTGATGTGAAGCTTGTCACAGGTGGTCGCACTGCGAGGCTTGGCACAAGTGGTCGTGATGTGAGGCTTGCCACAGGTGATGGTGATGTGAGGCTTGCCACAGGTGGTCGTGATGTGAGGCTTGCCACAGGTGGTCGTGATGTGAGGCTTGTCGCAGGTGGTCGTGATGTGAGGCTTGCCACAGGTGGTCGTGATGTGAGGTTTGCCACAGGTGGTCGTGATGTGAGGCTTGTCACAGGTCGTCGTGATGTGAGGCTTGTCACAGGTGGTCGTAATGTGGGGTTTGTCACAGGTGGTCGTGATGTAGCTGTGGTCGAGGTTCGGGACACCACCCACATTATCCGGAATGACAGCTGGCAGGCATTATCTCAGCACCGATCTGGCACAGCACAAGAAAGACGCGCCGATTATCGCGCTCGGCTCGGTCCAGATCGGCGTCGGCTGTTGACGTGCATCGATCATACGAGATCCGTGTGACGGAGCAGCTTCCGCACCGCGCCCAGCATGCCTCTTCGCCATGTATATTGATATCTGAGATGCATGGTCACTGGTCAGCTATACAATACAATCACATAACACGGACACGGCGCGACGCATGACTGTTATGACGACACACTCGCGATCGGTGCACATCGCTGTCAATTACAGTAGGACATGATCTGAAACACGCACCAGCTGACACTCCCAAGAGTTCGCCAGTAACACAGTAACACAATAGCGCACCGCAGATTAGGTTTCACAGACAGGCGCAATACCTGGTCAAAAAGCGCCTTCCACCGCCTCAGGTTGCTCCTGGTCAAGCCGTGCGGCGCCGGCAGGCGCGACCTCCATCTCGCCCGGCGCGCACACCTCATTTGATTGGCACCTCTCTTTCCGGAGGCTGCGGACTCGAGTCTACCACCAGTCGAGGCGAGGCAAGACGACGCCCGAGCGCAAGCGTGTCACGTGACCACGCGTGACCTGCCGCGCCCGCAGCAGGCGCTGATCACGTGGGGCCGTGCCGCCCCTGCCGGAGCGCGTGATTGGCGGAGCGGCCGCTGTAGGCGGTGAGCGCCAGCGAGGGCGGCCCGCGGCTCCGCACCGGCTCCTCTTGATCGAAGTCGTGAATGTCGTAGTACACTAGACTTTGGTCCTGCGGAACAACCGAAGCAGGCTGGTCTTAGAGTCAGACGCCGACGTGGCAGCTGGTGACGCAGCTCGAGGCACAGCGAAGGAGCGTGTCATGGTGTGCGTGGTGGGCACCTCATGCAGCGGAAGAGTATCAAATACCGAATATGCAGTATTAAGAGAACCAAATATGCAGTATTCAAAGCGGAAACAGTCGCGACGAGACCAGTTCGTCACAACTTATCTACTACAACTTATATTATCTACTACAACTACAACTTATCTACTATGCATACACAAGCACTGGATACAGATAATGAGAGGGCATTTCGAAGAACTGAAGTCCCTGTCGGCACTGAAGACAGACATGGTGAGAACAAACTGGTGCAAGACGATACATGATTATCCATGAGCTCTTCTAAAGCCAATGTCCTTTCCAATCCAAAACACCATTTCACGACAGCTGAACCAAGCTTCTATGTATGTTCCTGCCAACGGTTGCATCACAACCGGGGTCCATATATCCTCCGAAGCGTAATCGCGAGCCCGGTGAGCTTGTCTCGTCGGTCAGAGTCAGCGTCGGCGCGGCGTCTGTGGTCTGGCCAGCCCGAGAAGGTCTCGGCTGACGCCAGAGCGTCAGCTTTAGTACGGGTCGTGTTCTCTGTTCACGCCATCTTAGTGGTCACCGATGGGCAGCCTCACAGGCAGACTTGGCCTCTGGTGACCGTCGTCAGGGGGCGTCGAGGGAAACACGGCACCCGCCGTGAAAGCGAGGACCTTCTTTACCCCACGAGGGATACAACGGTATCCCCCGTGGGGCATACTGGGGTATATCGTATGCCGCACCCGACTTACGCTTGATTCCGCTACGAAGGAATCGATTCTCGACTAGGGATTCCCATTTTCGGTTTCAATTCCAGATTCCGACCGCGGGTTTAAAGCGCAAGGAGACTGTCTCGATCCCTTCTCCAGAGTAGCAGAACTCAATATTGAATACACTCGGATCCCCACTCATAGAGACTTGGATACATTCCGGTTTCCACAACCGACTCCAATAAAGCCGATTGCAGTGACGGTGGTCCTGAACGGAAGCACGTCTGTGGTTTGCAAGCAGCCTGGAGTGGACATTCTGCCATCATACCTTAGTAAATCATCCCGTACGAATGCCAGCTTGCATCGAGCGGAAGAAGGTTTTTTACATGCCTTTTTGAGCCTACTCATCGACCACGTCTTCCAATACGTGTGATTAACCTCCAGCTTCGACTTACCTATTCTCGAAAGAAATCAATTCCACATTAACTCCAAAATTCAGTGACTCCCTGATCAACTCGGACTCTGCGCAGTCACGTGCCTCCGACTCTGGCCTCAGCCGGTGGATGGCGGCTTGCTGTGCTGTTTCTAGCCAATGGACAACAGCACGCCATTCTGCAGTCTAACCGGCGCACAACAGCGCGCCCTGTCTCAGTTGAGCTGAGCTTGCGACAGCCGGACCGCCCGAGCCGCAAACCCACCTCGGTCGCATTTTGTCCGCAAATATGGCGGTGCTGTGAGAAATACGGACCAGATGCCCCGATGGAATTTTAAACTACGCAAATACCGAGACCGAAGCCCCCAGCTTGGTGATATAAGAACGTTAAGCGGCATACAGATGAGGTCATTTGTGAAACAAAGGGCCTGGCTGACGGCTGCTGCAGTGACAGCATTGTCGTTCTGATTGAAAATTGTTGTGCACATAACACTCTGTTCGCTGGCTCATGGATGATGTTACTGATGGTGATGATGTTACATCGATTCGCTATGACAGAGAGTCGCACAGAGTACTCACTTTCCGCAGGGATCATGAATCCGTTCGTCAATCCTCAACTATTTAGTCACATTTCGCCATAAATAGTCCCAATTTCCAATTTCCATTTTTTTCATTTCCAGGAGGATTTGCCATCTCTTGGTAGATTTTTTTGCCTCAAAACGGCCTTTTCACACCATTTCCTTTGTGTTAAGCCAGGTACCCCTGAAAGGCTGTAGGCGCGGTCGGGTGGGTCGGGCCGAGCGCTGTCGGCGCCTGCCGTCCGGAGGTCGTACCTGCGTGGCGCGCGCCTCAGAACGCCATTCGCCAGCTGTTGCTCTTCTCAAAGAGCAGCTCGTCGCGGCTGCGCTCGAAGGCGTGGCGGCGGGCCGCGCCGCCGCCACCGCCGCCACCACCGCCGCTGCCGTGCGGTGTCAGCGTCTCGTACAGGCTGTCCCGCGAGCCGGCGCGGCCCGCCCGGCCCGGCTCGTACACCAGCTGATGCGTGGAGCTGGCGCTGGCGGGGTGCAGTGGGAAGTCGTGCGCCGACAGTGTCGGGAAGTCGTACTGCAAGCGTCAGACGTCCGTCAGGGGGAGCTGCCTGCCGCGCCGTCGGGGAGGGGCGGGACGGCGCTTCCACCGGGGGTGTCAGTCCGTCGTTGGCGTCTGCTGACCGGTGCCCGCTGGGGGATGCTTGGGTGTGACCCTGCACCGCGCTCTGTGATAGGGTATATATGTACATACATTGAGGCCTGTGAACAGCATGAGGTTTCTACTATTGTTTGAAGGGCCTGCCTTCTAGTTTTGGTGTCACATTGTATTTTGATTGATGGATTTGTTGTTATAAATATGAACTCGCGACTCTGACTCGGTTTGTTTTGGGAAAATGGGCAATTCACAGCCGATAAATTAGCTTAGTAGCTTAGTAGCTTTGCATGGTAAATACCTTTGTACCTTAGTAGCTTTGCACTGTAAGTAGTTCTGTTTGAGAGTAGCCAGGGAAGTGTCAGGAGGCTTCATTGAACCGATTGAGATAATTTTTTTCTAGTGGAGTGTGCGTGCTTATACCATTTACTGTAACCATGTCACAGGGAAACCTCATTTGTTGTATTACGGAGCCGAGGTCGACAGGAAAGCTAGACCCGGCAGCACCCGATTCCTCCAGCTATCTAACTACGTCCCCAGGCACCCTCGAACCACCCGTCGGCCCCAAACACCATCTCCATGCACCCTACCTACCGCTCCCAGCCTTGGCTGAGTATACACCAGCCGTCCCCCAAGCCGCGGTGACCGGTGACCTGCCCGGCCGCCCGGTGACCGGTGACCTGGCCCGGCCGCCCGGTGACCCGCCACTCACCGCCAACGAGCCGCGGGACCGGGGCCGTGGCAGCCCGTGGCCCGTTCGCGCCTCCTCGTCGTCGCCGGGCGGCGGCGCCAGCGTGCGGCCGGCCCGGCCCGGCGCCAGCCGCTCCCCGCCGCTGTACACCGGCGTCATGCAGCGCATGGCCTGCGCCGCGAACGCCGGCCGACCTGAGGCAGACGGCGCTGCCGGTCAGGGCCGGGTCGCACCAACGGCTGGGCAGGGCGACTAGTATTCACATGTGGCGGCCGACACGGACGCCGACGTTATCATCGTCATGTGGCAGATATAAGTAACAGCTGGTACCTACACTTTTAATTTTTAGGAACGAAAACCTAAAATGCTGCAGTACAGATTGCGTGCATTTTCCACTACAGAGCACATGTACCTGAGACAGGTCATCGGATGCTAATCAAGCCGCGGCCAATGGTCAGCATACCGAGACAGCGGGGGCATGTTCTGACCCGAAAGACCATCAGGAAGCCCATCGCCCAGATAAGGGCGAGTCGTCTATCTAAGCGCTCGGCCTCATGCATTGCAAATTGGTCCGAGACCCGCCCCGATGGAGCGTTTAGGGTGAGAGTACTCCACAAACGACCATTTCCGCCCACAGATGGCTTCATAACCGTCGCACGGGTAAAGCGTCTAGGCCAGACCGGCTCATTCAGGACGCTTCACACCGGCTGATGAATGCTGCGTCCGAGCCTTTCACAGCCTGCATGCAACGCAATCATGAAGGGTCGACGATACCATAGGCATTGTCAGCCGAGTACTGCAGGACCGATGCGTGACCGATACGAACCGCGGCGCCATGAGTTGAGACGGCGATGCAGAGACGTCACATCCCGTCGTCCCGTCGACGTCACATCCCATCGTCCCATCGACGTCATATCCCATTCCTGATGACTAACGAGTGGGCCTCCCAGTTCTCCCGTGCCTCAGGTCCCGCAGACGAGTGAAGGGAGACGCGCCAACGACTAGTTGCGGGACAGACATCCGGCCGCGATCCGTCACTGCCTGACGCGTCACCCACCGTTCCTCGTGAGGTTCAGGCTGGCCGGCCGTCACTGCCCGACGCGTCACCCACCGTTCCTCGTGAGGTTGAGGCTGGCCGGCCGTCACTGCCCGACGCGTCACCCACCGTTCCTCGTGAGGTTGAGGCTGGCCGGCCGTCACCGCCTGACGCGTCACCCACCGTTCCTCGTGAGGTTGAGGCTGGCAGGCCGTCACTGCCCGACGCGTCACCCACCGTTCCTCGTGAGGTTGAGGCTGGCCGGCCCGTCCGCCATGGTGCCCTGTAGGTTGGGCTGCGAGGCGTATAGCGGCACCCCTCCGGCCCCGTACAGCGGCTCCGGCTGCGGGGCAGGCGGAACGTCAGCCGACAGCGGGAGGCGGGTGTGACGGCCGGCTGGGACCCGGGCCGCGGCTGGCAGCGCCACGCACCGACACATGGGTACGACAGCTGTAGCGGGTAGGGAATAGATTAGGTGTGGTTAGATATTCGTCCGTTTATCACTGAGTGGGTGCCCGTTCACACTGAACAACTTTTTGCTGGCCACCATCCATTCAAGACGTGTTGTTAATATTACTCAAATGATTGCGCCTTAACAACAGACATTTGCAAGCCGGTGATTTCTTTCCGTGATGCCGTGCAACTGTACAACAAAAACCATAGAGCATATTGCCAGCAATAAACACAATTACGATATACGCGTGATGCACAATGGCCAGTGCGCAGGTAAAGTGTAGTGGAAAAACGTCATGAAGGCCACATAACCACTTCAGCAAATCTGCACACGTTTGTCCACCATGTAGATGGCGAGTGATATGCAGACGCCGCCACATTACCGTCATATTGGCATGCCATTCATCGCCTCTTCAGTGTTGTGAATAGCCATGATGCAGTTAGTCATATTTTGAAGTTGATTATGCTGGGTCCGTATCTCAAACAATGTGGTTTACCTGATAAACTCTTTGACCCATTGCGTGCACTTAAATTGTTCGAATTAACGCGCACGCCGACGCAAACCAGCCGCGCCAGCCGCGACGCCTCGGGCTCCTGCTGACAGCCGCACGCTCTCCCGGTGGAAGCCGCAAGCTCTCCTGGTGGAAGCTGCAAGCTCTCCTGGTGGCAGCAGGCCGTCCATGCCGCTCCTGTGAGCGCTCCGCGGTTCCAGCTCGGCAACGTCCCGCGGCCTCGACCGGCCGTCAGCCCCGGTGTGTGCCCGTGCGTGCGGTGGTGCTCACAGCGGGCCGTACATGCAGTACTAACTTGTCCGCGGATGTTCGGTTCTCGGTCGCGCGGCGGCCGGCGGTGCCGCGTCCGCGGCCGGGGCGCGCCGCGGCCGGGGCGCGAGCGAGGCCGAACGGTCATCGCTCCGCTCCATAGCGCCGCATTCACTCCGCTGTCGAGCGAGAGCGGCTGGCGACACGCGGCGCCCGCCGCGCTTCTAGGTCTAGTGTTAGCGGAGGGGAACCAGCCGCCCGGGTCGCGCCGGCTACTAACTTTTTCGCCGCTCCTGGACAGCGTCTTCTTGCTGGCCCGGAGGCGGGCGGGCAGCCACCAGGGGCCGGCCTTGGGCGAGGCCACCCGCTGCTGGGGAGGCAGGGAGAGGGTGCGGGAGAAGGCGCCGCCGCCCGATCCGTGTCGAGAGCGCGGCGCCGCCACCACTGGGGTCAGGATGTAGTCTAGGGAGGAGTGAACGGCACCCGCGCGGCTGCGCGCCAGCGAGAGGTGCACGGCCCCGGGCGGGTGGCGTGGCATAGAGGAGTGCACGGTGCCGGAGCGGTTCAGCGCTGGGTGGGAGGCGTACATGGGGACCTGCGAACGTCAGAGGTCCGTCGTTAGGCAGTGTCCGTCGGTCGCGTCCACAGGCGCCGCTGAAGCGGTGAGGTAAGCTGGTGAGTGGCTATAGACAGCGGTGAGATAGGTACTGAAGGTCTACGAAGTGTTAATAGGCGTCAGAAAGAAGCGATACACACAGAAGAGCAGTCCAGGTGTTAGAGCGACACGAGCTACAACACATAGCAGCCGTTTTCACACCGAGAGTAAAGTCAATTGGACTTGGCGATCTGGTGTTTGATGAACCCTGTGGTCGGATGGCAGTCAAAGTCATAAAGGTGCAGGCAAAAGATCCCAATGCGCGCAACCTTCAACAATATTTTGAAAAAACTTGCTGGGCCACGTAGTTTGCTAGTTGTTGGTCGGGAAGAGGACTTTTATTTGTTGTGCTCTCCTCTCAGTATTAGATGAGTTGCGAAAGCCATGGCAAAGCAATTTCGCAGTCCACAGCAAAAGCAAACTAGAATGCATTCGTCTTGGTTCCACCGAAAAGAGTATGAGGTACAGAAAACCATAAGCCTCAGTCCTTTTGTAAGACATCTTGGCCATTGTTTCTGCCTGGTTTGAGGAGCTGTGGTGTGAAAACGACTGCGGTAAAGCACAAGACGGCGCGGCCGCCACAAACTCAAGCTACACATGGTGGTCAGGTGCAGAAGTGAGTCGTGAATCTGTGGTCAGTCCAGTCTAGTCTAGTGCAGTCCAGTCGTGTCTACAGCTCCCGCCACGCTGCCCCGCCGCGTCTCGCCTGCCTCTGTCACCTCTGCGGAGCAGCTGCCAACAACGGACCGTCGGCGGTGCCGCCTGCCAATAACGGCCATCGGAGGCCGCACTTGACGGCGCCACTCACCGCGTACAGATTCTGGTGGCCCATCGCCTCAGCCATCTGCGCCCAGCGCATGCGCTCCTCCATCGAGAGGGCAAAGTTGGCGTGCGCCGCGGCCGCCGCCGACGGCTTCATGAAGGAGTAGCCGCTGGCGGCGCCCAGCGTGCCCATCTCGACCTTGTTGTGGCCCTGGCCGCGGTGCCAGCGTTTGCTGCCGGAGACGAGACAGGTCAGCAGGGTGTCGTTGAGATGTACTAGTGGAGTTTGGTCCATGTGAGCTAGCTGTGTCTCAATGAATGACTAGATGGCAAGTGCAGACAATAACGGTCTCCATGGCACTACAGCACGGACCGTATCGCCATGAGACCAGCCTGACCATGCAAACAGACCGTCTGGGTTCTTTCTATACGATGATGACGTAAGTTCTCATCCCACGACGTTCAGGGAAGTGACTTGTCGCCATTTGTCCCGATCGCGGGGTTAGTTCGAACCGACCCGGCGGTGACGGGGCCTCCCCGTGGCCGGCGCCAGAGCCTGGACTCCGCCGGCCGCCGGACGGTTACCTCCATTTGCAGAGGCAGATGAAGGTGGCCACGATAACGAGGGCGGCTGCGGCTGTGGCGCCCAGCGCCGCGCCCAGCACCTCGCCGTCCACGTCACAACGCGCGCCGTAGTACGAGCCGCGACATCTGTCGAGGAAAATGGTAACTACTACGGCCGCCAAGGCTGTCCGCCAGCACGTTTCGGTGGACGCTCCGACGTGCAGGATTTCTTGAAAACCGGAAATGGTGCAGCCGATGGGTGAATGGTGCACCCGAAGGATGAATGGTGCGGCCGATGGATGAATGGGAAAATCGACGAGCGGCCGCCGCAGTCAGTCGGACGTGTGCCCCCAATTCAACACGCTTGGTTCACTGGTAACTGAGCTTCGGGCAACTACGCCCCTCTGTTTTTGCCCTCGGCAGGGAAAGAGAGTGCAAGGATTGCACGGCCAAAATCATACGCTGAAGTGGCAGCTCATCAACAGCAGCATATGTTCTTCCGACTACATCACTACTGATGTCGTAAAGTGGGGGAGGGAGGGGGGCAGATAGCACGCGACTAAGCTAGTCCAACTGCCCTGTACACCCGCGCCAGCCTCTGCGCTTCAACATAGCAGCCGATGGGCAGCCAACGGGGCTCCAAAGCCGTGACACAACACAGCACAACACAGCGCAACACAGCGCGGCGAGACTGGACTTGGCGTCACTCACAGGCAGGTCTTCTCCCCGTCGTAGATCTGGCAGGTGCCGCGGTCGCTGCAGTAGTCGTCAGTGCACGAGTCGCAGTACCGGCCGGCCCTCTGCACGTCGCTGCGGTACCTGCCGCCCGACATCAGTCACACGGCGTCATGCCAGGCCCGTGTACCAGACGCGGATACTGTGAATTGGGCATCACTGAGAATCTTTGTGTCAAAATATGTTTTAGTTCAGTTTGAATCGATGAGCGGTCTCGGTTTAACAACAATATACGCCAACAGCACGACACAGGTGCTACGCTTATCAACCACTGCTATAATCGAAACAGCGCGTACGAGACTGCATCGCAACATTTCTTTTGAGCGCATGTGAGACCATCTCAGAGCGTTTTAGCGTGCAAAACCTTCCCCTCTCTGCCGGCACTGCGTGCATTCGTCATTCTCTGCTATTCTGGCGTGTGCCTTCACTCGTCTGTCGGCTGATGTCGTCAGCGGCGCGCTGGCACGGCCCGCTGACCTGGCTGTCTGCCGGGCCCCTGGCGGCGTCACGCCACGCGACATGCCTGTGGCCGCACGTGCCACCCGTCGCCGTTTGCGACACGGCCGCCGTCACGGCTGAGTCAGCGCCAGCGGGGCGCGGCGCCATCAGGAATCATTCATTCTCGGCGCACGACCCGTAAATGCCATCGTTCCTCAATGGCACTGTGGTCTCCATTGGCACTGCGGTCTCCAATGGCACTGCGCTCCCCAATGGGACTGCGGTCTCCAATGGCACTGCGGTCTCCATTGGCACTGGGGTCGCTAATGGCACTGCGGTCTCCAATGGCACTGCGGTCTGCAATGGCACTGCGGTCCCCAATGGGACTGCGGTCTCCAATGGCACTGCGGTCTCCATTGGCACTGGGTCGCTAATGGCACTGCGGTCTCCAATGGCACTGCGGTCCCCAATGGGACTGCGGTCTCCAATGGCACTGCGGTCTCCATTGGCACTGCGGTCTCTAATGGCACTGCGGTCTCCAATGGCACTGCGGTCTCCATTGGCACTGCGGTCTCTAATGGCACTGCGGTCTCCAATGGCACTGCGGTCTCCAGTGGCACTGCGGTCTCAAATGGCACTGTGATCTCCAATGGCATTGCGGTCTCCAATGGCACTGCGGTCTCCAATGGCACTGCGGTCTCCAACGCCAGTGGGCGTGGAACGCACTCATGCTGGCGATTTATCATCGGGCATCTCTTCGTTTTGGAAAGTCACATTCCCGCACAAATGTATCGGCCAATCACAGAATGTAATCCCAGACCGGTACTTGACAAGCCAGATGACCAGCACAAACTCGAGGCTGCTCCCATTCCGCGTTCTCCTTCTTTGGGCACAAGATTAGGAAGACTTGGCTCACTGGATAACGATGACTCCCTGGACCAATTACGGCTTAAGTCACATAAACATTCTGTGGATACTTGGAGTTGCCCACGTCGCCCGCTTGAGGGTGGCGGGGGTAGCGTCCAGAAAACACTGCCCGTGCTGACGCGAGAGATTCCAGGACACCCAGCCTTGCTCCCGGCCGGCCGCTGCCGGGGCGTTCCAGCCCGGCCTCCAAGTGCGCGCTACCCTCACCTATCGTCGTATCCGGGCTGACAGCGACAGAGGAAGCTGCCGAACACGTTGCTACACTCGGCGTGCTCGTCGCAGTCGTGCTGGTCAGGATCGCTGCACTCGTTCAGGTCTGTGGATTAAGGGGACGCCGAGTTCACACGCTGGTGATCAGAGCAGAGTTGCGTCTGGATTGCATAGGTGCAATTTTGGTTTATTTCCTTGTATGCTAACCATGCCAACGAAAATAGTAAAACAAACTGTGGATAACTTTGAGACAAAATGCTGTGGCGACGAGGTAGCAACGGAGTGAAAACAGATCAGAGATCCACCGGCACCTTCTAAAACCATTCCGTAGTTGACTCCTCACAGATCGCATAATTAAGCAAAGTAAAGACCCCAGACCCCGAACTCCTATCAAACAGCTGCATCCTTCACTACCGGCAAACCCCTGCCAAACGGTCCCCCCCCCCCCTGCCCTCACCTTGTACGCCGGGCACTGGGTTGAGCGGGCCCTCGACAAAGAGAGTCGAGTCGCCGATGTTGTTGTCGCTGGCCTTGATGGCACGCACCATCTGACGCTGCAGTTCGTCTTTGACCTGGCGCCGCCGCGTCTGCGCCGTGTCCAGCAGGCTGACCGTCGTGTTCAGTACCACGCCGCCGGACAGCGGGTAGAACGCGCTTACCCGGTTCCCCATGTAGATGTCGCGCATGGTGGTGCCGGACATGGCCGAGCCAATCTGCGTGCGGGGAAGGGAGACGCCACGTCATGTCACGCGACGCCAAGCTGTTGAAAGACATGCCATGCGCTGGCCGCCCTCATGTGTTAGGGAGAACTAGGTTTTATTGCGACATGGGCTTGGGCACCCGTGCTGAAGGCTCGAGGTTTCCTCATATTGGTGTTTTGGTGGGGAGTCGAAAGGAGATTTTCTCAGAGTTCGTAGTCGGCGGGGCTGAGCTGGCAGCCTCTGTCACAGCCTGAAGTTGGCATGTCAGATCAGGTCAGGTCAGGTCATGGGGTATACGCAGGTACTTCAGTGCATCAGCCATAAGCCTCTGTACGCACGGCGTGCTGAGCGTCCCAGGCCAGCTGCTGGAAGACCTCGGAGTCCGGGTCGGCCAGCGACGAGTCCCAGGAGAGGCGCTGGTCTCCGACGCCGTCCACCTTCACCGACATCACCACCGACACCACACCTGCCGGTGACAGGGGCGCCGGCGTCATCACACAGTGCGATACCAACACAACAGTACAGCGCAACACTGGAATACGCTTAGTCGCCAGTGCGTCAATCTCGCCATGCGACGTTTTGATGCCATCAAATTTGTACAGAAATGATAATACTTACATCCGTCATGGACCCTCCAACGTCACAAACAATCGCACCAGCTTGAAAGTCGGTTTCGTCTTGTAACAGACCCGCCACTCCACCCACCGGTCGTCCCGAGCACCACCTCAGCGCACATAATAACCTGGAAGTCGCCAACTCCACAAAGCGAGAAGGCAGCCGAATGGACAACACGGACGCCGTGTAAGCCCCTTCCCACCACTGTCACCCAGCCCAAACTCGTCGCTGCTTTCGACGGTAGGTGGAGGAGCTGGCTGTCTGACGGCCTCCGTGGGCGTGTGCCCTCGTGGGCGGGCGGCCTCAGCCGGGCGGGGCACTCACGTTTGCAGGCCGTGCGAGGCCGCAGCCGGTTGTAGCCGGGCCGGCAGAGGCACGACGAGACGCCGTCCTCCGTCCGGCACCGCTCGTTGTACTCGCGCTTGCACGTGCTGTCGTCGCCCACGATACACGTGTCGATCCTGAGGAGGAGTACGTGGCACGTTTTGAAGGAAAGAAAGTTCGAAACGCCAGTGACGTGATGATAAGAGTGAGTCATGTAACATAAGCTAGGTCAACGTCGTACTGACACAAATGAAATGAATGTATTTATCATAGCACCCAGTCGGCTAAAGACATATGATGAGCTGGTAGGCGCAGTGTTTTGATTACATGATCACCTGTTCGCCTATCCTCTAAACGGAGCTAAGCCACGTCCTCATCTCTGCATATTAACATTTACGTCAATTTATCACGCATCCCCTCTCAACTCATAGTCATATTTTCCCACGCTCCAAAAATCATGGAGCAGCACGATAGGTGCAATAACAGCCACTAGAATGTGTAAATATTCCGTTCATGCAAATGCGCATCCAATGCTGAATCGACAAGACCCTCTGGCCGGTAGTGTTGAGGCCCACTCCGGCAATGTTTCGCCGGTCTCTCACCGGATGGGCGGCGGTGACGGCCTGCGGCGCTGGCCGGCGTACATCGACGCCGCCTGCTGAGGCCGCTGAGGCCGCTGGGGTCGCTGGGGTCGCTGGGGCCGCTGAGGTCGCTGGGGCCGCTGGGGCCGCTGGGGCCGCTGGCGGCTGGGCGGCGGGGTGGGTTGGGCGGGCCGCCGCGTCGGGCGTGAGGGTCGGCTGGACGGCGCCTGACCCACTGGGCCGAGACCTGCACCCACCGTCTGCCGGGCACACGGACACGTCAGCGCTTAGTGACCGTGAACGATCCCGTAATGAAGCCTTGCTCGATAGAAAGCGGCTAAGTACGAGCCACAGCAAGCAAAAAACATAGCCGAATCTTGCGGGCGGGGTTAGGAATTACGAGTAGACATAGTTTACGAGGCGGATTGGGCGTCCATATCATAAGCCAATAAGTCTGTTTATATAAGCCTGTTTTCTAAGCTAACATGCATCCGTGCAGGCAGAACGGAATGCATCTTTTAAATAAAGTACTTCAAAATAATGAGACCTCTCGTCATGCACGGTGATTTGAACATTCCTGACCTTTCGGAGCGTCACGGTGCCGAAGTAAACGCAGTGGTACATAACAGGGGCACGGAATATCTTCATCGGTCGACATGGCCTGGACATTCCAGAGCATGCTTTCGCAACACGCAGCGAGTCATGCGGCGAGTCTGACCTGGTAGGCCCCGCCTGCCTTGGTGGCGTCGGTGGGCGCCAGGTCAAAGTAGGTGCGCCGACCGTCGATGGAGACCACGTTGTTGACGGCGTCTGGCTCGGTAATGATGTCTCCTGGCCTGCGCAGCTGGTTGATATCCACTGCGCGTGGAAGGTGTGCACCTCGTGAGCTTTAGAAAGAGGCTTCCTAAACTAAAGTGGATACCGTCTGTACTACATTATGCAAGGCAAGCCAACTTCTGAAGAGATGCATGGTTTCGTGAGGTGCGTAGCACATATTTACGTGCGATTGCCGAGACTTAGCCAACCAAGATCCCTTCAGTGCGAACCAGATGACATTTACAGCCTACATTTACAGATAGACGGACCAGTCTCTGTGTTTACCAATCCCTTGCAAACTGTCAACAAGACCAAACACTTTATCCGCTGAGCATTTGGACCGAGTCTATGTAAGCCTGGTGATGATCAGCCGCCAGTACCTGGGAAGACGTAGGGCTGTCCGGAGGGCGTCTGCGGCGGGGGCGGTCGGCGGCCGCCGCCGAACCCTTGGGCCGCCGACACGGTGATGTCAAACACTTCGCCAACCCGCTGCGCCTGGATGACCTGGGGTCTGCCGGGCGGCCGGTGCGGCGGCGGCCGGGGCCGCGTGGCGTCCACCACCGACCCCGGCCGACCGGAGAACACCGACAGCGGCCGAACGGAGGGCCGCAGCGGCGGCGTGGCGGCCGGTGCCGGCGGCGGACCGCCCAGTCCGGCGGCCGGGCTCTCGGACGACGAGAGCGGCTCATGCGGCGTGCTTGGGATCTCCACCCACTGCTGGACCTCTCGCGTGGGCGGCGGCGGCGGCGGGTCGGCGGTGGAGGGGCCCACGGGTTTGGTCGGGGGCTCGGAGGTCGTGGTCTCTCGCGCCTCTGTCGTGGTCTCCGAGCGGGGCGCGTCCGTCGTCGTCGGCTGCGACGGCCGGTCGGTCACCGACGACTCGGCCGTCTCCGTCGTCGTCTCCTCATTCAATGTTGTGGCGGTCACCACGTCACTCTCCCCGCTCTCATCTCCACTCGTCCCGCTCTCCGTCGAAGCTTCCGTCGCCGACGTCGTCTCCGTCGTTGTGACTTGCGGCGGCAGTGGCGGCGGCGGCGGCGGCGGCGGCGAACTCGGCGCAGGCGCCGCCGTGGCCACCGTCTCGGCGCTGGCCGTGACCGTCGGTGCGACCGTCGCTGTCGCCTGCGGCCGCTCGCTAGCTGGCAGCTGGTCCACGTCGGTGACGACGGTCTGCCGAATGGGCGGCGCCGGCGTGGTGGGCGTGGCCTCGCCTCGCAGCGGCACCAGCTGCTCGGGCAGCGGAACGCCGTTGGCGTACGGCGCGATGGGCGGCCGCTGCTGCGGCTGGGGCCGCGGGCGGGGCTGCGGCCGCAGCGGCGGCGGCAGGTGGCTCGGGTACGGCCGCACCGCCGGCCGGTTCTTTACAGCCACAAACTGCGGCGGACCGCGGTTGTTGATGCGCGTGGGCGCCACAGGTCGGTTGCCGGGCGGTCGCGGTCGCGGCCGCTGCCTGTTCGGGCCTCGGTTGGGCGCGCGGTCGGCCGGCGGACCCACCAGCCGCACGTTGTCGCCCAGCAAGCTGATGATGCTGTTGAGCACGCTGTTGACGTCCGGCTTGCCGGCGCGGCCATCGCGCCGCTCACCGGCCGCGTCCTGCGACGAGAAGCTGGCGCGCGGCTCCCAGGGCGATGGGCTCTGGCGGCCGCCAGGCGGCGGCGCGATGACGGTTGCCTCGCGCGTCTGGCGGGGCGAGGTCTCGGAAGGCTGGTTCTCGGTGGGCGTCACCGACCGCTGCACCCGCGCCGAGGGTATCACCAGCGAGACGGGCACGAGCGGCAGCAGCCGGCCGGACGTCACCTGGACCGGCTCGGACGCGTCGGCCGCGGCCGCGGTCGCGAGCGCCAGTGACTCCGCGTGGAGTCCCTCCGCAGACCTGACCTCTGCCGACCTGACCTCTGCGCGCCTGACCTCTGCCGACGCCCGCGGTGCCAGACCTTCGGCGGTCTCACCGCCCCACATCACAGCCAATTCAGCTGACGGCGGTGCCACGCCCCTGGTGCCGCCACTATTCACCGCGAGCACCGCTGTCGTCGCACCGCTCTCCGCTGCGTCCGCACTGTTGGCTCTGACGGCTGATCGTCTGTGCACTCCACCGCCACTGGAGGAGCCTCGCCGCTCGATGTGATCGGACGAGACGCTCGGACTTGGGGGTGACCTGTCCGGAGCATGGAGCGCAGTCGTGGCCCCGGAGCTCAGGGCCAGTTCAGTCGCCTCCAAGGCACCTGAAACGGAAACATTAATCCTTGTCACGCTTGAAGCTAACCGGTGTTTACCATCAATAAGGAGACTTCCATTCACAAGATGGTCTCACACGGATTTATGATTTATGCGCAATAAACCTGGATCGTGATTACAAGCCATGGCGCTGTTCCGAACCCAGTGTGGCACATGTTTTCAGCTGCGCGTCGCGTTCATCCCCTTGCTTTTTTCTAGGATGACACACTTGGTCACGCTTATGGTTTCTGTCATACAAACACATTCGAGGCCGACCGCGAGCCCTCAACAAAAGGAGCAGGTCAGCTTGTGGTTACGTGTAGACCAGTGCTCCAGAGCTCACAATGCCCCAGCCTTTGTACGGTGTGAACCCAGCCACATGTCATGCGGCGTTCTGTGTGCCAGCCACTTCCACCCGTCGGCGACCTTTTGAAAGAGCCCCGGCAGTCGGAACGGTGATGTGTTTTTGTTCGGCTATCGAGGTCGCTGGCGACGTTAACGCACAATAGCACACAACTGCTGCTGCACGCGTCCGCCGGCCTGCGGCGCCGGCACGCCTCCCATTCTCGGCACGTCCGCTGCTGTTCCGGGGGCGCCGGAACGCCCGCCGGCGCAGGCCCAGGGCCCGTGCCCAGTCGCGCCGGCAGCGCAGCATGAGCGACAGGCACTGGCCGTGAGCCGGCCGTCCCGACGGCGGCCAGGACAGGGCGGCGCGCGGGCGGCGCTCTGTGCGTGAGGCGGCTGCTGCCGCCGCCGCCGCCGCTGCAGTACTAATGACAGGCCCCGTTAGTGGCTGTGACCAGCTGACGCCGGCCGGCGGTCGGGCGTGGCTGAGAGGGCCGGACGGGAGGCGGCGAGGCGACCACCGCACTGGGCGCGCACTGACCGCCGCGCTGGGCGCGCACCGACCACCGCGCTGGGGGCGCGCCAAACACCGCACTGGGCGTCACAAGCGATGGAGAGGCGGCACCAGACCATAATCGCAACATCTTGACGACTGACGACTGATGGCTGACGACTGACGACTGACGGCCACGACTGATCCTGAGTCTAGCCGGGCGGCAGGAGCGAAGGCTGCTCCGTCGCTCGTCAAGAGACCGGACGCAGCCATCGTAGCACGTTGGCGAGCCTACACGGACACTGTGTGAAGTATCGAAGCTCTGCGGACCATGCGCGTCAACCCGGGCAGTTTCAGAGCGAGACGTGTGGACATAATGATTCTGTTTTTGTTGATCAACTTAAGCGCTCGGCTTATGTTAAATGTCATCTCGTGGTATCCCATGACTGAGTTCTTGCTGTAGCAACAAACGAGGTTTGTGATTTCATTCCATTGTAAATGCTGACATTGTGGTGGATTCCTGATCGGAGTCTGTCGCCAACCACATGCCTCAACTGGATCGATCGCCCGAGAATGATGGATAGCAATAGCATGTAGGTGATTCGCATGCATATTTCTCTCTAACAAATATCATAACAAGCTAAGTACCACTCTGATATGCTCTCTCTTCACCATCCGCTATGACTGCCTGAGCTCCACATTTCCGGCATCAATCCAGCGTGATGGAATTCTGCCACTCAGTCATTCGGCGCCTCGACCGCTAAACAAATGGAGCAGGCTCGTGCCACCATTACCCATTCGTTTCAGCGCCGGGTAGTGGGTGGTGGGCAGTGGGCAGCGCCGCTCCATTTTGGGGCGCTGCCGGCCGGCCGCACCCGGCGTTCCATTTAGGCTGGCAGCAGCGGGCCAGCCGGTCCCATTCCCATGTGCCTACCGCGCCGGACCGTCGGAGCTCAGTGACAGGTAACGGACGAGACACGCACCGACCGCGGCTCCCACAGTCGTGCGTCCTCCTCTCCCACTCTCTCTTTTTATTCTCCTCTCTCCCCTTCTCCCTCTCTCTCTCTCTCTCTTCCTCTCTCTCGCTCTGCCTCTGCCCTCTCCTTTTTCTTTAATCTTTCTCTTTCGTTGTCTCTTCATGGCTCTCGCTCTCTCTTTCTCATCTTGTTCCTTTAAAACGCCGCTTCTGAAGCCTTTATTTGGAGCAATTAAGTGTTCACGGCGGCTCTTCCTGTCCCCTGCTCTCTGCGTGCCTGTGCTGATCTCTCCTGTCACCCCTGTCGTTCCGCTATCCGCTCCACCGGGCAGCATTGACGGATTTCCTGTCTGTCTACCGACCTGGCTGTGGGCGGCCGGGGAGAGCCGAAGGATGGTCTGTTTCTGTAGCTGCTCCAGCGGCGGGGCGGAACGCCGTCTGCTCTGCTAGCACCAGCAGAGAAAACACGCGCGGACCGTGGCAAACGGTCACGACGAGTCGCACGGCACACTGCCTGCCACCTGTGATCGTGACAGGGCGATTCCGGCATCGCGCCAGCACCCGCCCGCGCCAGCACCCGCCCGCGCCAGCACCCGCCCGCGGCAGCACCCACCCGCGCCAGCATCCGCCGCGGCAACATCCATCGCGGCAGTATCCGCTGCGGCATCACACTCGGCGCCAGCACATACCGCGGCAGCACCCATCACGACAGCAGCCATCGCGGCAGCACCCGCCGCGACAGCACCCGCCACACTAGCACCCGCCGCGACACCAGCCATTGCAGCAGCACACGCCGCGACGGTAACCATCGCGGCAGCACCCGCTACACTAGCACCCACCGCGCCAGCACCCACCGCGGCAGTATCCGCCGCAGCAGCATCCGCCGATGCTGCACCCACCGCGTCAGCACCCGACTCACCAGCACCCACTGAGTCAAAAACCACAGCACAAAGGAGAAGCAAACGTCATGTAGCGGATCACTTGGTTGGAACGCAGGGTCTGTACTTACCCCGTTTACCCTTGGTGTTTTGGTCACGTCAAGTAAGACGACGATGGGATTTATTCAATGCGTGACTTCACCTGTATCGTTATCACTGTCAATACTATTAATTCGATCAGGACCAAGCACCGTTCATTAGAAACCACGCACCCTCCGCCAAGATAAGCAGCCCCAAGTTTCATTCACCCTTCATCGAACCCCTCCCTTACCCAGGCCCCCTCCACCAGTCCAGTGGCGGAGAGGAGCTACAGCCTCTTCTGGGACCGGGCCCTTAACCGGGACCACTTACACTCAGGCGCGACGAGCCGAGCGCGTCAGCACCACGCCCCAGCTGGCCGGAGTGGAGGCTGGCCAGGCGCGGCGGCCTCTCGACCACGCCGCCCCGACTATGTGGGTCACACGCTGGAGGGACCGCACAAGGCCCCGCCACTCCACACTCTGAGCCAGCTGCGGCGTGGGCGTGGCGGGGGGCAAGTGCACTCACCACTAGCCAGTCTCATAAAGCGAAACTGCGACTTTTACCCTTGGTGTTCTGGTCGCGTCATGTACGCGTATGGACCCGATTTTTTGTGTTTCACATGTTTGTTCTAATCCTCAGCGATACATCATGAACTCGAGCCCAATTGACCTGTTTCTAGCTAAGATGCTTACAAGATGTGATCTAAAAGTTATATAAGTTGTCCTTAGTCTACATCCAAATCACCGTATGTGGTGTATTGACATTGATGGCATCGATAGAATAGTCCAGTGTATAAGGCTTTTGAGTTTCCTCTACAAGCGTCACGCGCGATGTCCGTTCGCCTGCACAAGGCTCACCATGTACAAAGGAAGATATGCTAGACCAAGATGGAACGCTGGATAAGATAGACTCGATTCACTGGAGCGTCATCTCTGATAAATGGTAAGGGCATGATCTTTTTGTTTCGCGGTAGTCCCAAATGACTATTAGGTGTTTGTGAAAGCTGTAATTAAAGCTTGCCTTCCATCAGAGCTTTACGCCTCTGGTCATCGTCGTTGTTTTTTTTTTACCTCTTGCTTTTTCAGACCTCATGCCCGAATGAAGCCGTCTGGCTCATAACAGCCGTTAGACCCCGCCGTGCCTAACCAGACTGGACCACACCAGACCGGACCACACGAAAGCCAGACCGCATTAGACCGGACCACACCAGAGCCGACCACATCAGACCGGACCATACCGGACCCGTGGTCCACGCCGCAGGAACGACTCGGTGAGTCAACATGTAAGACCGCGGTTGTCATTTAACCGCTGATTATGGTTTCTGCTCGACAAATCCGAGGAATGGCAGTGTTAGATTAACGGAAGTTAGATAAGAAATAACTATTCTGGATCGCGCCATTCAGTAATCACGTTTCAAATTTTCCCGAAGCGTCGCATCATTCAGCCACCGGAGAGCAGAAGAGCTGGTGTCATCAGGGAATGCCACAGGCAAGCCAGGCGGGGTGAATAGTCCTGGACGGCAGACCACGCGTCCCTGAGCAGCCCAGCGGTGCGCATGCGCGGAAGTCGCACCAACGCCGTGCCGAGCGTGACCCGCCGGTGACGAAATGTGCGCATTCCTCGGGTGCCAGCGCATGGTCTCTGGTAAAAAAACATTACTCATTTCACAGGCATCTTTGGCCCGTTTACATCCCAGTATAAGGTTTGAGAGCATATGCACGATACCGTAATTGTATGAAAGCGCTTTAATGATCGTGTGATAAAACCGGTTGTTTCCATCATTAATCTGCCCGCCCGAGTCAGCTGCCGGACATTATAACTCGCTTGGCATGAATCCCGGTCTGCGTGGTCTCCTTCCGCCACACAGTTCCTTTCTTCATCACTCACGTCTGGATCAACAGCCGGAACACGGCCGGCGCCGTGGCCAGCGGGGCTCCGGCCGGCACGTCGGCGGCGCGAGCCTCGGTGGGCTCCCCACACCGCCGCCAACTTTCACTGGCGCGCGGCGGCAGCCGGCCGCGCTTCCTGCGACCCGACGGCGGCGGCGGCGGCACTTTCTGGGTCACACAGTGTGACTCAGTAACGGTCCGGGTCGGCGGCCGTCAGCTGACCTCGAGGTTGCCGCCGCACCCCCGCACGCCGGCGCCGGCGGCGCCACCTACGGCACCGCCCGCTCGGCGCCTGCTGAGCGCCGCATCCACCGGGTAAGCCGAGGGGAAACCGAATGCCAAGCGT